GGCAACACCATAATGTCTGCCTTGTTACGATCCTCTGGAAGTCATGTTCCGATCACCTAACGCTATATGTCCTTCCTTTAATGATTTCAAAAATTATGACTCGTACCTTGATCAGTATACGCCCAGCCCCATCATACCATATCAAGACCGAAGGGGCAGCGAGCGCGTGGCTCAAGGATTCATGCGTTGGATTTAGTAACCAAAAGTTCCTAGGTCCAAACTGCAGCCGCCTCACACCTGCAGTCGGGCAAGGCTTACTGGCGATAGATTCTAGGCCAGAAATGGTTACTCCAGCTTCCCTTGCCTTCGTCGGTAGTCCTTATATGCGTATACGGACACGCACACAGTAGTGATGTTCGCATACGCGCACATACATACTGATGGGACCGGCAACAGCAATAGCCCCGATAAATGTACACACAAGGGACTGCAAACGAGATTTGACGCGACCCGGGATCGAACCGGGGAAATTTTTAGCACTGCGCCCAGCCCACCGCAGGCAACCGGTGAGCTAGGCGGTGGCTAAAAGCCGTGGATTTGAGGGTTGCCAACTGACGAGATAACTCAGGCACCACAGTCAGCCCTCTGTGTGTCTTGTTGCGTGGAGTGGTTTGCTGTGGGCTGAGAGTCAGACTGCAATGGCTCCTTCGTAATGTGGCCTTTATGGCGTTCCCGCACACGCGAGAGCCTACCTAGCAAGGTGGTGTTGTTGTGGCGCCTGTTAAAGTGTGTTTTGCGCACACCACCTGCGTTCTCCAACATTTCTTTTCTTCTCGACTTCTGTATTGACGTCGCGTTCAGGTTTGGGAGTGGTCAGAGATTAGGATTGATCCGGTGAGTCTACTTTCACTTTGATCCAGCCGCAGCCACCGCATCTGCCTTCAGCTTGCTGAAGCTCGAGGTGAAAGTCGTCGAAAGCGACCGTCGAACTATCGTTTATTTGCGTGTAATGGGTTGGTGTACGCTGATTTCTGTCTGAATAAGTGCCTGGCTTTCAGTGATAGAAAGCGTTAGACGTCATGACATTGATGAAGAAAGTGTAAGTTTAGCGATGCTACCCATGTAAGCATTCAGAAAGCCAGGGTAGTCGAACGAACGTTTTCGATTAATTCATCATCAGGCGATGCGACGACCGGGTGACATGAGATAATTGTAGGACCCGTCCCTCCTCCCTTCTTTACTTTGATCCCTTAGCATTTTCCCTCCTAATTACCGCTAATTGGCCGCTTAAGCCTTTGTTAAATCTACCCTCCCTTTACATCATTGTATTTGCCTGATGATGAATTAATCGAAGACGTTGGTTCGCCTACCTTGGCTTCCTGAAAATAATTTAAAAAATGACCCACTTAATGTATCCTTGCTATGGTCCATTTGCGCTGTGTGTGTGTGTGTGTGTGTGTGCGCATGTTCGCGCCCCTTGCCCCAGCTGGTATTCAGGATTATGACTTGCCAAATCAGGAAAAAAAACGATTCTAAAACAGGACTCCAGGGCCCTAGCTTACAAACCCAGGTTTGGATAAAAGTGGCTGACGACTGCTAATAAGCCAGGAATGGCCATCCCGCCTCTGTTGGTACCGCCCTTCTGCATTTACTACCAGTCGCCTGTGATAGCTCGAGGTTCAGATTCTGCAAGCCTGGCCTTGGGTAGGACTACTTGATGACGACTACTAAGCCCGACATTGTCATCGTAGTCCCCTAGCTTCTCCCCTTCCCCCAGCGTATTCACTTTGGTTGCAAGAGCATTTTTTCAACTGACTTTACCTTCTTTCACCACAGGGAAATCAACGACCCACCAAATGTTCATCTTGTCATCGATGTCATCACATGTGACCCGGTGATTGCTAAGAAAGCTCTCCAATTCGCCTGCGGCAATGCACTTGTCTGCGAGACCGTCGAACACGCCCGATATGTGGCCTATAGCATGGGCGAGAGGAAAAAGGTAATATTCTATTGCGTCGAATAATTGGCTACTATATTTGCTCAACCCGTCTTCGTACTCAAATAGCCCCCTCACTGTCTTCATCGTTAATTGTTTTGTGTTTTTTTGTTTTAGACTGTTTCTCTGGATGGCACTCTCTTCCAACGTTCCGGTGTCATCTCAGGAGGGGCCAGGTTAGTTTTTTTTTCTCACATGTCATTATATCCTTCGCCAAGGTTGGCTACGTTTATAATGTTTACTTTAAACTCAAGGGCAAGTAGTTGGACAGAAGAGCTTAGTGAGAAGTGTCGTTGCCACATACCCCCTAAAGTCTGCCCCTAGGCCTTTAAAGACTCCCATGTACTCAAAATTATTCAGAAACCCCACGGACTGTGTGCGGGTCAATTATCTCGATTTTCACTTCGGTGGCCACGTAATCCTGGTTTAGGGATGCCATTGAATTACGTGCAAGCCGAATCGTCCTTTAGAGAACGCAGCCTTTGATGACATACGCTAGAAATCTGACCTCAAGCTTGGCCGTCTTGTCACAAAAGGTGGCTGTAACTGCCAAGCATATTTTATGCATGCAAGCTTGTGCAAGCATTTCACTTGCCCCCATACCTTTGCTTATCTAACCACTTTTCCCCCGTTAAAGTGATTTGAAGGCGAGAGCCAGACGATGGGATGAGAAACAGATCAGCTCCCTAATGTCGCGCCGCGATGCCCTGCACTCAGAGTTGAAAGAACAGCTGAAGAGAAAGCGCAAGGAGGCGGAGCTGCGAATGC